TGACAAATCGAGTTTTAAGTAGCGAAATGTTGAGATATGATGTCATGAGCGTATTCTTCACAGTGACATTATCGGTATCGGCGGATTAAAGGAGCATAACAGTATTGTTGTTTCTCTGATAAGGCATTTAAAGGATCAGTAGTACACTGTTTAATTGTATGATTGAGATGGAATGAAAGGGACAGTCATTGATTGTAAAATGGTTTATTTTTCCTATTTTACTGTTAGAAACTGTCATTTTGAGCAATTTGATATCTTTGTAGTTGATTGACATTTTCCGTTTTCCACGGGATATGAGCCTTCGACAATTTTTTTTATCGTTTGCAAAGTTTTTGAAGTAATCACTTAATATAATTTCGCATAAATTAATCATAACTCCTTTCATTGAATTTTTTAAGATATTCGCTCCTTTGTGCCCTCTTCTCTTCTCTCTCTCTCCCTTTGTGGGTGTGAGACAAACCGATCCAACTAATTTCAGAAATGTACTTTTCTTCGATAAATCGTACTTTTATTCCATACCGCATTACAACATTTTGGACTTCCATTAGTAATTTTTTCCATTGTTAGAAGTAAAATGGGGCAGGATCCGATTGAATTTTCATACATTATCTTCCCATTGTAAACTTTTAGATATTCTGAATATAAACACCAAATAAAGTTTAAAGAAATTTAGTTTTTGCACGATATGAATTCATACAGTGTTTGTTTATCATAAATGAGGAAGAATGAATAATGCCATAATTTTTGGTTGAAAAAGTAGTCGTTTGGGAAAGAAATTTTCCCGTATGATTGATGATCATAATTGTCATTTTGAAAAAAGAAATTCTTTTATTATTATAGAATTACAAAAGGTTCAATGGTGACCGTTAAAATATTTTATTTTGCTATTTTTGGTGGTGACATTTCTGTTACTGACTTCTTTTATATTATTTTTGGATGTTCGTAAAGATCATATGGTCATATGGGAGGAGGAGGGTTAAATTGCGGCGTTAGTTCGTGCTATCAGTGTTATCTCTCCCAGTTAACTTTCTTATCTGAAACTTGCTTTATTTTCCTACTATCTTTGTTTCATTTTGTTTTTAATTTCAAATGTCATTACCAATTTGTAAGGAATAATTAAATTATGGCCAATTTTTCAATCTAATTTGATAAGTTGCATTCTTTTAAAACCCTTAAAATTCTAATTTATTTCGCTCATATGAACAATGTGGTAGAGAAGATAGACATCAAATTGTCATTTAATGAACTGTGTTTGTAAAAACAAAGCAAACAAAAATAATGCAAATTTTCATTGATAATGAAATCTGATTAATAAAAGATTGAATTTCAATAACATTTTGATCCACAACGATGGCAGTAAAATAAGTCGCTATCATGCTTTTCTTTTGAAGATAGGTTCATGGCTATCAGATTTAGACAATGTTCATACGATAAGCTGACAGTTGAGTAAAGCTGCGGTCCATTCTTTCAATTATTGCAATTCGCTTGATTTTGCCCCCAAAACCCGGAATTCTACCGATTTCTTCTTTGAGTCTATCGAATTCCAGTACTAGAAACATTGATACTCATCTTGAGCGCTTTCAGCTCAAGAAATTTTTTAAGTTTGATAGATTCGTTGTCTGAGGTGTTTAACGTTAGGACATGAAACAAGTTCAATTATAACATATGCTGCATCTGTTACTGCATTTTTTAATATTGAATGGATCTATTTCGGTTGAACTGGTAGAAATGCGAACTCCTGTCTGCCAAAGCTTGCAAATGTAACTTTGTTCTTTAATTCCTTTTTCCCCAAAATTCCTCAAATGTTCACATTTATTTTAGGTCCCATAACTTCAAATATGAGTGGAGAGGGGTTTTTCTCCAAGTTGAGGAAATCCGGAAGTGAAGGAATAGCATAAAATGACAGTTAAAGGAAAATAGAGTTTAGGAAAAATTGAAATTAATTGCACATTTTATTGCTTTTTTAACATTCTAATTCAAGCTCGCAATCAGCTAACGTTGCTTGTGCGCAGTAAGATTCTTATGTAACATGCATAACATGCAGCATGTGCAAGCGTTACAAGACTGTAAAATAATTATCAGTTTGCGGGAAACCGGTTGCATAGTTTCTATTAAAATAAATAAAAGTCAAATGGGAAAGAATGGATTTTATTTTTCATGGCCAGTTATTATTGCTAGTGTTTATGTGGAATTATTATTCAGTTTGATATGTCGATTTTTTAGAAAACAAGATTAATGGCATTAAAGGTAAAGGTAATAGAGAGGAAACACAGAGAAAGAATATAGTCATTTTGGCAATAAATCATGCATTTAAAAATGTATATTTTGAAAGAAGGAAAGAAAAAATTTTCGAAAGGGAAAAAGACGAAGCCATAATAAAGACTTTCTTCGTCTTATTTATTTTTGAGATAAACTTTGTGATGATTTTTGATAAGTATCAACAAAAATATGTAATTTATATTAGCGATGATTTATATTACACGTCAAATTGATTTCGTTATATTTTTTCTATTTCCGTTTCAACTTCAAATTCACTAATAATTTCGTGTTGGAAAGGAATAATGAATTGTAATTGAATTGGTTTTCTTTTTTCCTTCTCTTCTTTTCAAAATTGCTTTAGATCGGGAAAGAAATGTATCATTGAATTTCTTTATTAACATATCCGAAATGTAGAATTTTCAAAAATACAACAATTATTACTGTAAAATGTTAAGTTTCAATCATTTTTCTTTCACACTATATACGAATTATATGAAGTGAAATTACATAAATTCAAAGTTTCCGGACTTACACTGAATTAAATTTAATGAAACAAATAGAAATTTGATGGAAATATTTCTTCCATTAGAAGGCTACTCATTTATGCGATAGTGCGAAATCAGTACTAAACACGCATGCGATGAGCAGTTGAATTTGAATGCGCTTAAGCTTTAAAGGTTGAAGATTGTATGATGAATGGACATTAACCTTAACTGGTCATAAGTAATGTTATCCATAAATAAAGGAATGAGAAGAAAAGGAGGAAATTGCGGGAATAGGGGAAAAAAAGCTCTCATTTAACAGAAGTGATCTCCTATTGTGAAATGAAATGATGAACAGTTCGAAATGGTGAACATTTCTTTACTTTATACAGATGCAGTATCAGCTGTATAAAGTACAAACATTCGTTATTTACTTTTTCCAGTTCACCCCGACCCTTTATTTCGTAATCGAAAAACGTTTTTTCCGTTTAGAATATTTTAATTTTGTTTGCACGCATTTTCATTATTTTTCACAACGACTTACTTCGGCACTTTCGAAGGTCATCATGGCATTTAGTGATCAATTCAATAGAAATTTTCACAATGTCTCACAAATATGAATTGAAATTTGAAGAATTTAATTCTTCCACCCCAATGAATTATGGTGTATTTGCAGAAGGACATTGCAAATTTCGTTTTTTCCTCTGTATCGAAAATCCATCACTAACATCGTAAGTGTAAAATGGTATTAAGAAGTTCATCCGAAATTTGACCACTTTATTTGTATAGAACGACCCTGTGTACAGCCTTTGAACCGATAATTCTCTTACTAAGGCATGAATTCCAGTGCTGCGAAGAGAATATGCATAATAGTTCAGTATGAGCTTGTCTATTTGGTTTATGAATCTTAGTTAAACTATAGAATTTGTTGATTCTTTTCAATAAGTCTTTGAATTTGAATTTTGAATTTGAAGTTCACTTTAATCTGCAGCCTGTATATGTGTCATATCATCTCAGCCAAACCGTGAATGTGATGCTGTGTCCCCTATGGTTAAGAGAGATTTCGATAACACTGTATGCCATGGTTTATTGGCGGCAGTTGATAGACAGTGTTAGGATGATGCAAAGGTTGGCATTAATGGTGTGAGAAGAAGGACAGTCGCACTTCTTTCAAATATATTGAAATATTTTACAAAAGGAAAAAAAGTAGAAGAACATCTGTTCTTTAGCAAGGGGCGACCCATTAAACGTACTTGTTCGTCTTCCCCTCATATTTTTTATCTTCCTTCTGAGTGGTTGTTAACGTATATTTTATGCATACTGTCGTCCCCCTTCGCCTTTCTCCTTTATTATTAATTTCTTTCATCCAATCATTGTATCCTCTTTTTCCGCTTACTTCATTCCTTCGATTAATAATAGCTGTAGAAGCAATCCAAAGTGCCATTATCATATCACGGCTGATAAATATCAAGTTTCCAGAATTTGTCTGTTTTTGTACTAATTCATACTCTTTAATATGCAACTTTGTCACTTTTTCACTCTGATTTTTAAGCAGCATCATATTTACCTACTTTACAGGCTCAAGAGTTTCTTCATCTACTATCATTAATATTATGGAATTTCTAGCAGAGATGTAAGATCGCATGTAAAATCAATTACAGGTAGGATGTTGAAGAACTGAATATCCTATTAATGAGTTATTGTGTTAATGTGATAATTCAAAATTGCTTCTGAAGATAAATTCAGTTAATAAATTTTTCCTCAACTTGGTAGTAGATTTCTTTTTATTTTTATCCATGAAATTTGTAAAATTCTCGAAACTCAAGCATTTTCTTAGAGATCCATATACCCGACATTCAACAAAATCTTTCTTTTTAGTTTGCACTAGTCTTTCTATAATGTCAACACTATTGTTAATATTAGTAATACTAATCGGATAGTTTGTATTCATCTTATTGAATAATTTCTCTAAATAACCCTACATCACATCGCATATGTGTATTTTTATAAGCAGTCAAATTCGGCGTTTGTGTACTTTTTCGCAAATCATTTTGAATCCGAAACCAAGACGCGTCAGAATCTTACGAGAAAAGCTTATTGAAGCTGGGTTACGGCCAGTGATCAAACTTTTATGATCTCATCATCGCGAAATTCAGGATTTTCAGAGGAAGGTTTGCCCGAAGCTTTTGGAATGGTAGTGGTGTCTTTGATGTCTCAGCAATGACCGAAGTGATAAGTTATCCCGTATTCTGCTAAAAGATGAATGCTATTGAGAAGTTAGACAAAATTTTACGACGTCTAAGTAGCAAGACTCGACGTACTACTACAAGACGTGTAAACTGTTATCCAGAAGTGTCCAGTTCAGGTAGTGATGAAGATGCTTTAGTAGAACCACAAACGGATACCTCAAAAAATGACCGTAAAAGTGGCAGTAACCGTCGGACACATTTGAAGCCTGTAGTGCCGACCATTCAGAATATCGGGACGACAACAGTAACGGAACAATCCTCAGTAAGTGAGAAAAATTTTGTTAACAGTGATGGGATTTCAGACTTCAGCAGTCAGTTATTTTCGTGTTTATTCAACCGCAACGGTATGACATCATTTACAGGAACAACTGGAAAGAGCATATAATCTGCATCAACAGCAATTACAGTACGACAAGCAGAAGACTGAAGAGGATGAGCATCTGAAGATTTTGGAAGCTCCTGATGGCCAAATGTTAAGTGGTAACAACTGCGAGACTTTGAAACCACTATTGCCATCTTCAAGGTTGCCAGGCCAGGCTACAGCGAGCTCCGCCACTCACGAAAAGTCATGTGAATCCGAAGATGCCGATTACGTATCCGATTATTCTACCTATGGGATGCAGCGGAGTGCAACACGGAAATCCGTTTACGAATTGGATATGTCTATGGATGAATCGTTGCCGGAATCATGTGGACGTGAAAGTGGTTACTTATCGGGGATTGATGTGCGCTACAGCATGTCGGCTGCCGAATCACCTGCCTTGTCACCGCTTGGAGTAACTTTTTCTCGGGCTCAACCGCTCTTCCAGCGTACGCTTGAAACGATCATACAGCAATCTTTTGATAGTGAAGAGTTGCAAAAGAACGAAAAAGGTAACCTGAAAGTGGTTGCCATTCCACGACAAGTTGACATTGCAAGAGATCTGAAGCTTCAAGATGAGGAAGCCAAGATACCGGATTACATAAGTACTGAAAAGCTACTCCGGGATAGTGTTGCGGAAACAAAGTACATAACAACAATTTTTGAGCTTTCATCGGGTGGTATCATTAGTCTTATTGATGATGTCCTTAACGAATTTAGTTTGTGGTTCCATGAAGAGATTGGCCTTCTTGGAATTGCATGTGAGGTGCAATGGTCCGTACCGGAGGAACACCGTCATCTTGCCTCCGAAAAAAGGTACTTTGTTCTTCTCTTGTTAACCTATTGCTGAAGGTTAGGCGTATATCACTTAACGGAATAATATACAAGGGATGATGGAATTGATGGAAACTGATTATAGGTCACCAGTATGAGAAAGGAGTAAATTATGCAGTATGAAAATTGCGTTATACGAAACAACATTGATTATTTAATTACTTTTGAAGCAGAACGAGATATTTTTTCTGCCTTGTAAGTTCTGCCCAAAGAATGAATAGGTTATGGGGTGTTCCAAATTTCGGTCATTTTCGTAATGTGAGGCAATTTTAACAGCTATTTGAGTGATTTAATTACTTCACCATTTAACTTCCTTCATGAATTCACTAATGAAGCTGGACTAAAATCTAGAATGAAAGAAGCTCTCCATCATTCACTTCGGCAAAACAACCGCCGTGTATTAAACATGAAAAGTAAAACTGGTAACTATTATTTGCCGTTAACGATGATATCAGCTATAACAGAGGAAAATTGTGCACGCGATTGTCAATTAAATTGCTTTCAAGGTAAATCCTTCACATAGCTATAATTTTGGATGAATTTAATTTTGTTCCGGGAAAATTGACAGCTTTGCAGAATAAGAAGTCCCGACATTCTACAGGTTTTTACTTTCATATCAAATATTCGGGAAATTCCATTTGATAACATATCAAAGACTCTACGGTCCATTTTTCCAGTTAAATATGGCAATTCAATAAGGAAAGATTTCAAATTAAATATTTGAAGTTTATATACTTGCGAAGGAATCTTTAATTTAGAGAGATTGCAATAGGGAATTTGAACATTGGTTGAATTGAAAGTTTTGAAATTCTTTTTCAAATCCAAATAAGATCAAGTTCAGTTTCGAATCTTATAAGGCATTTTAATGATATTGAGTTGCTCGGAAACCTATCTATTAAAAAGTATTCTAAAAATTAGCCTCAATTTGTTCGTTAACTTAAGGTGTTTATCGTCGTTTCTACACATCGTTGTTGCCGTATCAACACACAGACGCAAGTGTGTGGCATAGACCGTACTGGAGTTTGCGTGATACCAGCCGATCAAATTCACAAAAGCCAAATCTGGAGCAGTTCATTTTTGGACGTGATGCGACTAAACTTGATGTTGGCAGTTTGGTTGCTGTCAATGTTGTCGCACTGAAAATTGTACTATAGATAACGCTGAGCAGAAACTTTTTTCTTTGCCTTTCAAATGGCATCAGTTTTCCGAAACTTCTGACACAATTAGTTGCAGTAACCACAAGAATGTTTGATTTTCAATTGCAACATCCTTGAGTTTACGGACCAATTCAAGAATTGTACGTCGTAGCCAAGGAATATTATAATGTTATTCTTGCTCCTTTTTAACTTCTTTGCTAATCAGAATAATCTGCAAACAAGTATTATTTCGCAGAATTTACCTTTGAATTGGTCTAAAATATGCAATTTAAAGAGATGCACTTAGTATTTCTACACTTGACACTTCCTAAAGAATGATGTTTTCATCATTATTTATTCTATCCATACTTTCAGCAGTAAGCATTCATAAGTTGTCTAAAACTTCTAAACATATTGCATGGAAGGACCTATTCCTTCTTCAACTGTTGTTTTAACCCTTATTTGATATGTAAGGATACGAAATGCATCAATTGTCAAAGTACACTTTGACAATCTTTTATTAAATTAAATTATTATTAAAAATAATTTCTAAGATTTCTGAAGCTGCATGTTATTTTTTTATCGGATCTATAGTAATATATCCTTCATTTTTAAAAATTTAGATGAATTAGATAAATGCCAATTATTTCTTTATTCGGACTATATAAAAAACATTTCCTGAATATTATCCCTTCATTTAACTCCATTAGTTTTCAAGATTATCTTAATCTTGTAATTGCTTTTGGTTTTTTTGATTCTAATTCGCCAATAGCATTCGGGCTTATATGTCCGACTGGTTAATCGTCCGTAACGGCATCGAATTTATGAATCACCGCTTTAATTTTTTCGAATTTTTTAATTCAAATTTTATTTTTTTATTTCGAAACTTGAAGCTATCGAATCCATATCATCATTATTTCAAATTCGAATATGTTTTAATGTATCTGATTTGCAAATAGTGTCATACAACATGGTGCCTTCCTGTTTATTGACCACTTTCTGCAAGTGTATTGCGATAAAAGTTACATACAATATTATTTGTAAGATGGAGTAGCTGTTGGAGACAAACATGTCACTGAGGATATTTATTTTCGATCAGCGACCGTCTGACTTTTTCGAACATCTTTCAAACATCCATTAGCTCTTGTATTTCTAATTGTTCAGCTAGAACCAATGCTAGATTAATTCCTACACACTTAGATTCAACTTTTTAGAAAGGAATGCCCAGCATCCTATGGAAATTGTGTTTTTCCAAAATTCCAAAAATAATCTGTATCTTGAGTATTTTCGCAGAATCTGTTTGAATTTACAAGCGTGGAGTTTGTTATTTTCGTTTGATCTGAAAACCGAAATTTAAGTTTGAAAATAATGCTAACTTGCATTTTCGTTCGAAATGATCGCAGATAACTCCATGCTTGTAAATTCAACTAGATTATTTATTTCTGAGGTTTTGCAAAAACACAATTTCTATAAGATGCCTACCTTTCAAAGAAAGTTAAATCTCAGTATGTAAAAATTAATCTAGCATTGGTTCTAATCGAACATTTATAGCTTGAAATGAACTGCTTGCAAGCTGACTTAAACATTACTGGGTATTCGAAAGATAAAATATATTTTTGCGTCGCACAGGCAATTAATGCAATGGGAAAACACAAGGAGTGGCTTGGTTTTAATTTCTCTTATTTAATTAAATATTTTTCAAACAGCAAGGATTTTTGAACTTTTGTTGCAAACAATAAAATAAGTTACAGATGTTCAATTAGCTTTTGTTAGTAAGATCAATTTCTCTTCCTTACTTTTTGATTCCAACTGTACTGTAGTATGTTACTCTCTTCTTTTACGTCGCCCATCACGTCTCATTATTTTCCTTTCCACACTTGTGAAAAAGCGGTAATGTGCCGGTTTCAAGGTCTGAAACACTCCGTTGTTTTCAAGATCAGCAAATCAAAAAGAGTATGAAGAAGGCATTGTGCAGCAGATTCCGCAGTGTTAACATACCTTTTCTGTTGGTTTTAATAATTTTCTTCCTTTATGTTGACTAAAAGGATTCAAGTTGCCACTAAGAGAGCGTGTCGATTTTACTGTTTATCGAGTGAATTGATGAATTGTTTTAAGGAAAAAATACGCCAAGTGATTCCTGAAATAAAGTGAATTGGGAATGTTTCCTAGTTTTATTGTTAAATAAAATCCTGTTTATTGTATCAGAAAAATGAGAACTTGGTCCAAGATTTCAAGAGAAAGTTGATGCTGTTACCATTTGTCGATTTTAGCTAAAAGTGAAAGCGGAAAATGCATTGGAAATGGAAAAAACAGCAACACGTCTGCTGCGAATTGAAATCAAAGATGTCGACGACAATTTGCCAATCTTTTCGGAAATTCACAATGTATTTTTTTCTGAAAATTTTATTTTTCATTAGTGAAAAAGTGAAACTCTGATGAAATTCGAATTCCGCTAAAGGTTGCACTAATTACTACTAATTTCCATTTTCTTTTTCCCTCATTCGCATTTCGCTGCGAAAGGGGCTCATAGCTGAACAAGCAATGTTCCGTCAGAAATAACGTTGTTAAAATCGACTTAAATGCCGAGTAGTTCTACATTGATCTTGATCATTGATTTCCATCATTTACTGATCATGATATTTCAGCCACTACCTTTGGTATTTGTAATTCAACCGGGTAATACGGTCGTTGGAAGATTGAAAGCGATGGATATAGATGATGCACCGTATAATTCGACATATTATTACATGCTACCTAGTTGTAAGTTTTATTTCCTCCCACAACCACGAAAAAATTGAATTTAGCAATGAAGCAACAAGTAATACAATGAACTGGTTGACTGAAATATGAAAAAGAAAGCGAGAAATTAATTTAACTAAAATCACTGCAAAGGTTCAAATCGAGATGGAATATTTACTGTTGACAAACGAACTGGAGTCATTTCGGTGACAAATTCCAACGACCTCAAATATGATGAATATCACTTGTGCGCTTTAGCCAGGCAGGTCCCATAATTCTTCATGAGTTTTCGAAATTTTAATTAAATTTATTCAATCAGTAGAAATTTTTATCTGTAGACTAACCTAAAAGACTGTTTTTAAGTAGCGTATATTAGCGAAAGATTGCAGAATGTTTTAAGCACTTCATATTTAATGTTTCTTCATAAAACTTAATTATTATAGTGCCTTCAATATGTCCAAGATACCGGAAACAGCATTTGACAGTAATAATGCAAGTATGATTGCATTTACGGTACGAACCGAAACAAATAGTGTTGTAGAGCAGGCGAATAAAATGAAGCATCTTCTCGAAAACAATACTGTTAGCGTATTTGGTAAGTTAATTTTTCTTATGATCTGAATTGAGATTATTGATCTTGAAACTTCTTAAATCGGGAAATAATGGCTAAGACAACTTTCATTCTTTTTAGGAATTGATTCAGCATTAACTATACCAGTGACTCGACTGAAAACTCATCAACCAATGATCACATATCAGCTTCGATCAGTGCGATTCACACCGTACATATCACTTCTTTTTCTCTTCTTCATTTTTTATTTAAACATACAAAATTTAAATCTCTTCAGTGCCGAAAATGAAGAAATGCCCACTGAATCAGCACCGTACTTCTCAGTCGACCCAGTATCAGGCGATATTCGTATTGATCCAATGCTTGGTGACTACACGGAAGGTGTGTTTACATTTGATATTGCTGCTATTCAGCAACGAACAACTACCGATTCCATACAAATTGCACATATTGTTAAACAGGTGAGTTTATTTCAATTTTTCAAGATTGAAGTTTTTTATAAATGGTGCAAAAGAGTATCAGTGAAATTATTCAAATATGAAATATCTGGATAAGACTATCATTTAAAAAAAACTAATGTATTGCAGAATTTATAATTTTGGATTGCAAATTCTAGTCCCATTTCTTTCATGGGAGGAAATATGACACACGAATGCTTTGTTTTTTTTAAGGTACATAATGTGAAACTTCCATCGCTGCTAAAATTTATTTTCGATCAGAATGCTCATCTTCTAGGATTGAATCTTGAGGATTTCAAACAGTAAGTATGAAGTTTAATTCGAATGCTGTTTTGGTGTCGTCATTAATTGCTTTATGAAATCACATTATTACAGACATCTGTGCAATGCATTGAAAGCGGAATCAACAATGTCCGATATTTCTGTAATTTTTGGCACACCTCATGTTTATGAATCAGCGGGAAGAAACAGGTTTGTACTTTAAAATTTAGTTTTATCTAATTTTTTTAGATTCGCTTTGAATACTCTTTTGAAATTTCATCCTCTGCTATAAACTACATTAGAATAATGATTAATGGCACGTCTATGGGGCATCAAGAGTCCATTATTTTTATTCCTATAATAAATTCAAAATTTGTTCAAAAAATTAATAAAGGTTAAAAAATTCAGTAAAAATTATAGGTCATCGGTATGCTTTCACTCCTTGCGTAACGGAATAATTCTCGGACAGGAAAGTGCAATTTCGACTCTTTCTGCAACGTTGAATAGCGGAGGCACGCTATCACGTCTTTACCAAATATTCAAAGTGGCTAATATAGAGGTTGCTTTTAATTGAAAAATCCGTGAAGCTATTATTTGTGCATTTCATATTTCTCAGTAGATCAGTTTTTTGCTTTTTTTTCTAAAAAATTTTCGAAGTATCAAAGCTGTAAAAACATAGATATTTTAGCCATGCATTGAACCAACTCGTACATTATCATCTGGCTTAATGATATCACGCTCGGCATTATTTTGGGCTGGCTTCTCACTTGTTGGCATCTTAATATTACTGTCATTTTGTTTATACGCTTGTTTTATCATCAGATATAAAAACTCTCTGAATATAAAGAAAGCATCTCTTGGTAATCTTTTCGTTTGACTTTTTGAATTCAGAATGAAAATTACTAAGTTTCAACTGAATTTTAAATACTAAATAACGATTAGTACTTTAGCTCATAAGCCAGTTTTCTTAGAACTTATCAGAAATAAACTATAGTATTATGATTCTGTCCTGATTGTGTATAGTTAGGGAAGGAAATAAATTATTGAGCCGAATTACTGTCACTCTTATTATTTCCATTTTTCAAAGAAAAAAAAATGGGCGATTAAAGTATTGGCATATCACAGTGACATGCTCATGTCGTTATTTAATATATTCATCACTGATGCAAAGTAAAATTTGAAATGAAAATGATGAGATTAATGGTAGTAATATAACATTATTTAGCGGACGAGACATCATCATCCACCGTATCGAGCAAACAACCATCTTCCGTACAATTTTATAGCATCAGTAATCTGTAAGATATCATTTCTTATTTGAGTTTTCGATTATTCTAACATTTAAGAGCTGAAAATTGCATGTTTATTCTATTGCATTCCATTAAATTGATTAGTTCCGTTTTTTTCTATCCTTGTCAAGAGTATAAGTGTGAACATTTGCAGACCGGCGGTGGATTATTAAAGAAAATTTCGACGCAAATTACGATAGCATTGATAATATTGGAAGACTTGTTCAATTTCCCTATGAATAAATAAGAGATCTTATCATTTTATTTGCGCATCAGTTTTGTTGTATAGTGTAGGATTATCCATAGAAGAACAAAGTTGGTAACAACAGCAAAACTTGTGTTGCTTGTCGTTTTATTGCAGCATGTACTTATTGTTTAGCAGTGCTTAGTAGAAACATTATAACAAATGTGGCTTTGTGTGGCTTTTTTTTTCCTTAATGAAGAAATTCTTAGCTGAAAATGTCAGCGTAAATTTCGAAGTGGAATAAAATGGATTGGAATTGGATAACTTTTAATAAATATTTTCAAAAAATTATTATTGCCGCTGAAGTTATTGTCACTTTGTTGATCGATATACTTCACTTTTATTTAAACTCAGCTAATCAAATTTCACATAGAACGAGGCGAAAGGTTACAAATAAATTATCTTTTCGATGGTGCGACAAATTTTTCCTCCGTCATTAATAAGTTTTGATTTTCATTGTAAATGTAAATATTTTATGAAGTGTTTTCCTTTTCCATTTATCTGTGTATCTCATTCCTTCAACCTTTTCATTTCTCCTTTCCTACTGTTTGATCCACATCTTAAGCTCCCCGAATACTGATAGCTTTTAGATGATTATTCTCAAATACCGATATTGCTAGTAAAATCGTAACAATATTTTAAAAATGGTATAACTGGCTAATTACTAATATTAATTTAACGATAATTGGAAATTATTTTGAGATGATGAGAAGAGAAAAACTAAGGGTTTAAGCATTAAGAGTTTTTAATAGACAGTTACTGAAATCCGTATCAGTGACATTCAATTGGACATATCGTTTTCAACTGATACACAGAATATCAACAAAAATAAGATCGACAGTTTGTTTTTAAATATTTTATGTCATTTATCAATAATTTTCGCTAACCAATTTTAATGTATTCGTAAGATTTTCAAAGGGTAGTATTTCTTCTTTCTTTTTTTCTTTAAATTATTTATCGATCCATATTAACGTACTACGTATAATGTTATGAAGAATTTCGATATAATTGCAACACTTTGTTTTATCTTGTTAAAGTGGATGTTTGAGAATAATACTCTTATCATTTACAACTACCATTTGACATGAAAAATAATCAGCCAAGCAATATAGATTTAATTTGGCAGCTTTTTCTATAAATTTCAAAAATAAATTTGAAGAATTAAATTTTAGAACTGAAGCCAAAAACAATTGGCGAAATCGGTGAAATGAAAGCAAGAAATATCAACAAGAAAAGAGGGAAATGATCTGAGAAGTAACATATTTTTACCTTTGCCCAAGCGCGTTCATTCTAACCGTTGCGGTCGACGAGTATCGTTTGGTACCATAAATTGCATCCAACAACCATCCCAAAATGTAAAGACTATTTTACACTGTCGAATCTTTTCGCTATTGAAGGTGAACTACACGTTAGCCATCTGTCCAACTTCAATCATTTCAGTGATTCAAAATGTAATTTTCAGGTGACTTATATGCCGAGTTAGATGTGTCAGATGAAAAGAGATGCGATATGAAATAATGCTTGACAATTATGTGGACCTAATATTGGATGAAACGATGTGCCAAATCAAAGTTTCGCGATCTTTTGGATCAAATGATTTGATTTTGGAGTCAAATAAATACCGCCATATTTACCATTGTAGCCTGAATTATGCATAAAGTTATGTTCAGAACAAGCTTAAAAAAAATTGATAAATGACGGCAAACAATCTAATACCTTCCTTTCTTAAATGAGAAATGAATTCAACAGATGGCAGAAAACAAACGATAATGACAACTCTCTAGTTCTTAACTAACATCGATGAAACTTACAAAATAACATTTATTCAGATGTTGAAATAATCCCACACGAACAACAGTATACAATGATGATCCGAAGTAATGAGAGGAAAAGAAGAATGCCGGTGTTTGAAGAGTACAGAGAATGAAGAACGTCTGAAATTCTATGTAAAGAGAGATTGAGGAAATTGCTGAAGAACAATTTAGACACGCAAAGCTACAAATATCCTGTAACCGAAACTGTTTCATATCAATAACAGTAGAGATTGATAGCGGGTCATCAATAATTATTTGAAGTAGGTTCATATTCGGGACGCGATTAGTTACGTGTGTGAGGGAGGTTGGGAAGGTGATGTGCGCGTAGGTTTTTTTCCCGAATTAGTGGGATGACTTGAAGTCCTTGTTGTTCATCCTGAAATGTGGAGCAATAAAGAACTGGTGGCTATTTAATATTAGGGAATGTGTTGAAAATCCAGAAAGATCATCAAAGATTTTCTGGAAAGGAGTGGAAGAGGAAATCCTACTTCCAGAAATGTTTCATTCATCACCTCTTATTATTTTCTTTCTACGTCTTGGTAATAGTTTTAGGAGCTACTGATCCTGCTGTGAAATTGACGTTTTCGAGAAACAATCATTTCTCTGTGCTTTGTGGACTGGTACAAAAGCTGTATTATCTGCATTTGAAACCTCATCACGGTTATCAGCGTTTAAAAACCACAGAAAGCGGCATCACAGTTGTAAAAAAGCAATGGGCGTGTTAAGCAAATTTCTAGTTGGTACAGTTGGATTACGAATCAACAAAGCGACGTGCTATGAGATGGTGCATACGTGGAATCCCGATTGTTGTGGAGCTGTCGTCGATTCATTGTGGGATGGATGGTTATTCTCCTTCAAAACCTATTTCATCTTCTACAGTGTAGGTTAAAGGGTTTTAACAAGTAAATGTAGCCTTTACTAGACACTAGGCAGGTTGAGGTCATGATGTCATGCTAATGTTATTAATATTTAACTCAGGCAGATTATTTAAAAGTGAAAGTTCAAAAGTGCGGTGCCATTTCTTTCCAGGTGACATCAATTATTTAATGAACTGTTGGTATGAAGAGTTAAGCATCGGGGCTGCAACTGAATGTCGTATTTAAAGCCTTTTTTTTCGTAATTTTACATTCACAGAAAAACGCGAAAATTTAGGAGAAAATATCTTGAACTTTTGCAAGGCGAACAAATGATAACAACAATCATTTTCAGTTGACTAACATCTTTGCGGCAAAAGATGTACGACAAGTTCATTGGCGCAAAATATTAGCTGGCTCTGTTCGATCTTCTTTTTTTTTAACAACTAATTTAATTATTTTTCTTTGGCTGAATTGTCAATTAAGGTTCGTTGGAAGTTTCAATTCACTGCAATCTTTGTTTTGTTGTTTGTTATTATTTTTGTATTGATTAATAGGTACTTCTTTATATAATTATAGGAAAATATTGGGATTCTTCACCGTTCCAACACTTGGTTTTATGAATGGGATGATTTCTGCACTACTTGCGATTTTCATCGAAAATCGAAGGAGAAGGCCACTGCTAGCTTTGTATCTAACAAACTTGGTCTGCTGAAATTTCAATATAATGTTAATTTTGACTTTTCCGTTAGATGAGAAAAGGGAAGAACTTCATTAAACAACTTGGACGGTTATGAATTCATCTTTCATATAAGTTAATTTTACAATAAATTTTTTTCACGATTTTACGTTAAGTAGCCCAAGTACTATTTTGAATCGGCAAAACAATTACCATATATTAGGCCTCTGCAACCCTTACTATCTATTCCACGCCTAAATATCTCAAATTCCGGCAATTTTTATTCTAGTACCTGCATTCAGTTTTTCGATACATCTAATGGTAAACAATTTGAATAACTAAAAATGCAATAATGTCTATAATTTTGAAACACTTCTTTGTTGATTGATTTACATAAAATTTATCTCCTTGTTTTGCCTTTTCTTGGATAATTTTTAATGAAGCATCTGCAGGCATCAGAAACAGCTTACCATCAGCTGGTTAATCACGGTTACCTGAAGTATATACCAAACGGTGCAGTAATTATATTCGGAATTGGGCTTGCAGGATTGCTTCATTTATATTGTAAGGATAAACTTCACAACAATTTAAGGAAATCTATCGAGTATGTTTCATTCCATGAACACTTCACATTCCAACATTAAGTGTTGTGGGAACTGAGCTAATGTATGGTGTATTGCGAGGTGTTTATTGCAGTATAGCAACAGTGAAGTGTCAGGTTCGATCTCCTGCCGTGTTCAATTTTAATTAAACATTCAATTGCCCAGACAGACAGCGAAGTTTTCAAATAAAAACGAAATGGAAACTTTCGCTCACGATCTGGGCGAAATCAATATGAGATATAAAATTCCCGTACGTGGAATGATCTGTCTTCCATGTTATCCCTTCATGTATCTTACATTTAATTAAAGGCTTTAGACTTTTATGGAGAAGCAGTAATTTAGATTTTGCTGTACGGAAATGAAAATAGGAGAAAGATGGAGAATAGCATTCCTTAATTCGCAACAAAAAACAAGGAATAGTATTTTTTTATTGAATGACCTTAGATTACGTGTTCATCGAGATGTGGGGAAGATATTTCCTAATTTTTTAGAAATTACGATTGTGTTAACCAGAATTTTTTTGTTTCTTAGATTTGAATGAAGACCTGTATAAAGAATATTTTCTGTAGAAATCGGATATCATTTATTCAGCTTTTCTTTCTTTGCAGATATGTTTTATTGATGAATGAAACGAAAGAATTATTTCCGTATAAAATGATTCAGAGGGTGTATTCTCCAATCGGAGCTGTTCTGCTAACGCTACGACAAAGGTATGCAAAACATCCATTATGCCGGCACCAACATTCATGCATTAGCAGATTTGCTGAGGCAAGCGATTCCGAAATACTTTTTTCTTTTTTATTCCGTTTAAATAACTGTATATGTGCGTGTTGATCTTAAGGTTTTTGCATATGATGAACAAATTAGTGCTTTATATTGTTTCTATTTCAATTTAGGGAAATTTTTTAGAACTATTAAAGTAAGACGCATCATTTGTAAATGGAAAATCAAGGTTTGGAAACCTCATTGCTCCATTTTCTAACTCAAGATCTAAGAGTCAGATATTTCAATGAAGGGAGATCAGCTACTTGATAAAAGGAGACAAAAAAAATAGGACCTGGAAGAGAAAAAACAAAAGAATGATCTGTATTATCACTAGTAGTGCATGACATGTCATGAAACTTTCCTGGCGAAGAGGTTCTTCTAAGCTTTGATGCAAAAGTCCGAAGATTTTGTGAAGTAATGCTTCTCACTCATCCTTATATCACCGATGTGTTATTTATTTCTAGGTGTTTTTCACCAATTTTTCTCAAGCCCTAATCTGGAGTGTCTGTATGGTGATTTTGAAAATTGGAAAAGAAATGGTGCATCAGCCAGCTGCATCTATTAGACGTATTCTAAGTTTCCAAACTCTACGTCTACCACTATTTTATGGATTTCTCGCATTACTGTTTCAAGTACTGAATTAATTATTGTTTTTGCTTTGTTTTCATTTTATTTTTCGGTGAAATAATTTCAGTTCATTTTTCTTCAGTATATGAACTTTGTATTTTCCTCTCTAAAACTCGAATTGTTTAAATTGTTTCAGAAAACGGGGCATGTATACGTGAAGTGGGAAGCTAAGGTTTTATAAAGCTTTCAACCTACCGGACATATAGGCTTGGAGGCTTTTACTAATTCGAAAAGACGAATCGCTGGGTAAACTGACATGTCTGACCGTCGCTTGGCTCTACAAGGTGTGTCAGCGGCAGGGTGGTGGACGGTTTATATGGCGATACAGTTTAGCGAATGGTGGACAGTTTTGGCGATCCTGACGTTTATCTGTTGTATTTTTAAAGATTTACCATCTGAGGGCATATTTCAACCTTAAAAAGAAGAAAATTATCGTTCAACCCACTTTAGATTTCACGATGCGGCTACAGCTGGTGTACAAATGAGGCTTCTCCGTTATATCTTTGTGGTGCAGTAGGTGGTTTATCATTATTTTTCTACCCAAATATTTCAATTGCCATGTATGTCTTTTGGAAATTTATAGAGGTTGGTTTCTACTTTTTCTTTCTTTGTTAAAAAAGTCTCAATTAGATAGTGAGAGAACAAAACTAGATTTTTCAAAATACTTCAGGGGCTTTTCTTTTCATACTGTAAAAACCTGGTGATACCTTATGGAGATGTATTCCTTTACGCGCTTTCGACGGGTTATGTTGCATGGAATGCAGTAATCGAACCTCAAACGCTTAGGGATGGCTACTGGAAATTTCTTGTTGGGCTTACAGGAAATAAGTTAGTTTTTTTTTGAATTCGATTTTTGATCTTGATTCTGGTTAGTAAAGTGTGATTATGAAGTAAAATTCAAGAACTGCTCTTATGATCGGATTGCTAAATACTTGGGTTTCTTCATATATCAATAGAGCTTTCTAAGATATGAAGTGGATACTTAAGATGTTGTGTATCACATTGTAATTCCAGAATTGAGCTACTAAATAGGCGCTTGTTTGATATTTTTGGTTATAATTCCTCGAAGAAGTTTCCTCATTTTGTACCCAAGCTGGATCCAAGGTTCACATCACTGAATTGAGTATGGTCAGTCACCCATCATGATTAATCTTTCATAATGTTCTTTTAGATTTCCTAACCGTTGATTTGCTTTCAAAAATTATACGATTCATAACTGTTAAGTTTTGCTCTATTAGATAGCTGAGTTATGCAATTCGAAGTTAGTATGATGCTATTAAATCTGTTATCTATTATTATTTCTTATTTCAATGGTATGTTGGTACCAAGCTACAGTTTATGTGATATGGTTTTCTGTTGATTCGCATTTTAAGCAATATTAGTGCCGGTATTGCGGTGATATATAGCATTATTGCATCGTCATTAAAGCTTTCATATTATTGTTCGTTTTTGATATTCGGTTGTTTCCAAATATCTGATTCTTCCCTATGTGTCAATCGGTGTTCCTTACTTCTCATATTATCTTTCACTCCTTGTGATTTTTAATTTCTTGTAATCCTTAACTTCCATAATCGTTGGTTGCTTTTACCTCATCAACTATCACATATTATCCATTCCGTTGAATATCCTAGTTTCTTTCTTTTTTTTAAAGATGTTTATTTAAAATAAGCCGTGAAATTAATTTTTATGGAATACTGAAGTTGTTAAATCACGAATAAAAATTGTGATACTTTTTATATTGCATGTATTTAATTTAAACGGTATATCGTTAAAACAAATTTAGATTTTTTCCTTTGTTTCATGGAATTTGACATGCAACAAGAGTGGGATAATTAGTCTAGTTCATGGCGTTGGAAGGTTTTATTTTTGCTACAATTATTCGTGTTAAGAACTCTCAGCTACTTTGTAGCCACCTTTTCCTGATCCTGAAGTGATTTATGAGGGTTGAAATGAACAATGGCGTTATGATCGAAGGGTAACCGAGGAAAGTTGGAGTGATGCTAATTTGCTGTCTTGTATTGTCGATTTTATTCTGAAGCACAAGTTTTTATATGACTACTCAAACATCAAGTTTTTATCAAACAATTTGTGGGAACGGGTGTCGCATAATGTAAGACTTCTTACCAAATCAATCCATCAACAAATGCATCAAAATATCGCACATTCTGAAGGTCGCAAAAATTCCCGAAATTTGTGATCAGGGAAAAGGATCCGTTATTAACATATCATTTTGATTGCATTTCAACTTAGAAGAGAGATCTTTAAATCACAAGGTGCAGGATGCCATTCTGAAGTTTGCTTATTCTCTATGACAATTCGGTTGCTTATGTAATCATTAACGTGTATAGCCGCTATTTGTTGGAAATATCCCTTTTTTTTTCCTTTTTAAAGGTTTATTTTTCAAGGTTAAGCTAACAAAAATGATCTTAAAAAAATATTTCTTAGATCAGGATGTACTTAATTGTTGTTTGGTAATGGTTACATTACTACTAAAGAATAGAAGGCTAAGAGTTTTCGGCATGCCTAATGGTTATTCATTTCCTATAATTATTCCGCCTGTTGATTTTCAGGTTTAAAAAACGGCCAACTCGATACATGCTGTAATAAAATATTGGCAGATCAAGTTTCAAGTATTTGACCATTTTTCCGTTCTTCAACTTGTCTTTATCCATCCTCGCATGAAATTTAAAATTTATAGCGCACTAAATGTGAGCGGAATAAATCCCTTATTCTTATTTAATTCCGTTTTCCTTAATTTCACCTGTTTCTAATTTCTCAAAAATTTTTTATGAATAACTTAATTTCATTGGGAAACTTGTTCCAGCTCCAAAACAAGGGTGAGTAATGAGTATTTCTTTTGTTAACGGACGATAATTATCGCTTATAATTCAGAAACTGGTATTATGATCTTGTCTACCAAATAAACTTGATTAGAAGTGATATATGAGTGTAAAGTCTAGCGACGAATAAGGAGGATTTTACTAAAAACTTGTATTTTAATAATTTTAACAGTTGTATTAGCATATTTTAATCCTTTTGTTTTGTTTTTTCATTCCTTCTCTTTTGTTTTATATCAATTTCTCCGATAATATTGTGAGAAAGAAAGAAGAGAATCAAAATATTAATTTGATAAACTAATTATTAATAATTTCTCTTATATAAAATAGAAGCATATAAACAGAATGAAGCTATGTAAATGCGTGGTTAAATGAAATTCGTTTATAAGAGCAATATTTGGACGATTGATAAACGGAGAATTTTTTGTACTAAATTTAGCAAAGGAAGAAAAACTGAAAAAATGATCGATGAACTGCGGTGACGTTTCACTACATATCCAGTGGTAAGATATATATTTGTCATTGAGGTGTCTGAAGAAGCACAACACACCTGGCGAGATAGTGGCAATTCTTTATTGTATTAAATTTCAATTTATATTACATATATGTATATACAGGCAAATGCTGGATTGATTTGCGCCGATTGATTCATGCATTCATTGGTAGAAATATTTATTTCTATCTTTATTCAAAAATTTAGGGATTCAAGATTTTGCAAATGGATGAGTTTAACATGGATGAGGTGGTTGAAAAAATTACTCACTTTTCCATTTATCAACCTTCTGCATTTTTGGACTCATTAAGCTTTCTCATTTTAGATATAAAATATAATCGATCTTCTCATGATTTGATAACAGCTGATTTCCAAAATGCAACTGTAATGATTTGTTCAAAATTTTCAATTTTATCGGTGTCGTTTCCCCAAAAAGTTAGACAAGTTTTATTGACTCAGGTTATTTGATCGATAAATAAATTTTAAACGGCAGTGATTTGATAGAAACAGGTTACCCTTTACTGGTATGTTAATTGGAGCTTTACAGTTTGCTAACTGGAATAAATAACCTACATAGCCAACTCGAAGTGGTCAAGGATAGAAGGGGTGTGAGGGCAGTTGGGGTTAGAAAAAACGTCAGAAGATTAGAAAAGTTTTGCTAGCTTCTCTGATACTAGCTAACTGTATAAAACATATGGGTACATACAATTTAGATATAAACTCCAATGCGAGTCATTCTTAAGTTTTAATAAAAAGGAAAATCTTTTTGTCATTAAGCTTAACATTTTTGTAGTTTTCTCTTATCTCACCCGTGCAAATTCCTTTTTTCGTTAATTGATCTTCAATTAATTTTTTTGATTCAAGTTAAGGACAGAGCAAATTTTACAAAAACATAGGATTCATTCAAATCTCATGAGAAAATATTCCTTCCGCACCATATCTTACAAACAGAACTTTATCTTTCCTTCCTCTCTCCCAAGAAATGATCAATGATAATCAATGATCCCTATTAAGGAAAGGTGTACAAATTATTTTACTTCCAAATCTGCTCTCATACTTCACTAAAAAAATTCATTTCTGTTTTTTTTAATTATTCTATTATTTTCAGGATTCATTCTTAATAGTTTTTTTTCTTGCTGATTTTTCTACACCTTTCCGTATTATTCCTGACGTTATATTGTAACTGAATAATCGATATTTCATTTTAATTCTTTAATAACAGTCGGAAATGTGAGACCAAAAAGATGATCCATAGAAAATTAAGTTGAAACAGCATGTTAAGAATGATGAATTCAGCGCTAGCTTGAAACTAAAGGATTTAATTTTAGACTTGGACAACAGTTCTGTTTAATTTTGAAGTTTAATTAACTGTTTAGTTTGTTTATATTTTCTTTTGTAAATACTTCAACTGACAAAGGGCTAATAATCATCCGTTCTATAATATATCAATTAATTATACTTCATAAAGCTGGGTTTTCCTTCAACAAACTAAAGAGACGAAAGTTTTAGGGTAATTGCTTTCAAAATAAAAACTTTTAGGACAAAATATTTACTGAAAAAAGAAACAAGTAATTAAATAAAATAATTTAGTATTCATATAAGAGAATCAAAACAATTGAAGCGAAGTACTTATTAATATAAAAAATGACGAAAAAGTTCAACTTCGACCTATATAATGGCCATATTCCACTGTAAACAGCAAACAGTGGTGTTAACATATCTTTTCTACTTTTATTTGACATCGACATTTAATTTGTGAGCATTTATGAATATGAAATGTAATGTGATTAAAATTTCAACTTCAAATGCCTGCATTTTAATGAAAACTTACCAAATTTTGTTGAATTAGGGTGAGCAAAATGATTATACTTTGTCGAAAATTCACGCTATTAAAAAGCATTTAGGTGACCTTGATCAGAAAAAATGGAATCCAGATCGAATAGTCTTCAATAAAAAAAAAGCATTTAAATCCTATCTTTTCCGCTCATCTCTTCATACAAAAGTAACATTGTTTGAAATAAGTTATTAATTATTCGATTCACAGTTTCACTTAATTTCATTTCACAGCAGGAGACATTATTTGCAGTTATACTACAATGATCATTGCTGCAAAAATTACGTTTACAGATTATTTTATGAGAGCAACCACAAAATGATGATTATTTTTCCAACCATTTCCCAACAATCTGTTTATTTATCCACTGATTTTACTTTTGTTCTGTTGTTCGTAAAAATAAATTTTACGTAAAAGTTGAAAGGTTGTATAATTAAGATTATTACGAAATTTCAAAATCGTGAAGTTTTCCCAAATTCAATTGCGTTTTGAAAATTAGCACTAATTCAAGTCAGAAATAAATTGATCTCTTTTTTACTTGTCCATTTTAAAATATTACACTTTTTTACCACTGAAGATATTTTAGTCTGCTGCCCATATGTTAGTAGTCTTTAGCTTATAAACCAGACGGCTCATCTGCTTTGCAAACATAAACAGTTTAGCTAAATTTTGATAAATCTTCGCATTTCAAAAAATTTGACTAGATAACAGTTCACTACTAATCTATTCTTCATATAAAATTTCTTGAATGCTGATGTATGCTTCGGTATGATAAGCAAGCTAGGAGGAATCATTTCTCTCTCTCGTCGTTTTGCTTTTCTCAATTTAAAAACTATTCCATACAGGAAGAACAGAAATCAAAATGATCAACTTTAAAATTAAGATCCCATGATTTTTCTGATTTGTTGCAAAATGCGGATAATTATTTTAATCGAAATGATTTCGGTTATGATCTATCA